AGAGAGCTTCTGCATTGTTCTTAGTGAGAGGTGAAGGGGGTCAGGATGATGAGGTAGAATGTGCTCTTCCTGTGTTCTACAGAGGAGATATGTCAGGAGCTGCTAAGACAGAGGGACTTCCTGTGGTCTGCAGAGGTGGAATGTGACTAAGAGCTGCTAAGACAGAGGGACTTCCTGTGGTCTACAGAGGTGGAATGTGACTAGGAACTGCTAAGACAGAGGGACTTCCTGTGGTCTACAGAGGAGGAATGGGAATAGGAAACAATAAGACAGAGGGACTTCATGTTGGGAAGATCAGGAAATTGTAGAAGGCCCTCAAACTTTTTCACACTTTTCCTTTGTTTGGCCCAAAGACCAATAAAAGTATTTAAACTTTGGGAATTGTTGTGATATATTAAATATTATTATTAATTACTTGTTCCAAGGACTACCATGATTTTGGGGTTATGTCTCAATTTAAGATTAACATGATCCAATGTAGGCACAATTTTAATTTCCAGTTTTCTAACTTTCATCTTTGGCTTTGTATCTTGTATTTGTAATATTTTCACACAGATTACATAAAACACCTTTGAAAGTTTTGTTTTAAAACAGCTTTTTATATCTTGATTGTACTATTTTCCTTTTAATGCTATTGATTTATTTTTCATAGATGTCCCTATTTTGTTTCAATAGGAAAAGTTTTTGATTAAAACAATCTCTCTCTCTCTCTCTCTGTCTCTCTCCCTCCCTCCTTCCCTCCTTCCCTCCTTCCCTCCCTCCCTCCCTCCCTCTTAATGTATTTGCTTGGAGGGGAGTATTCATTTGTTTTGAGATGGCGTCTTATTTTATAGCCCAGTCAGTCTTCTCAAATTCTAGAATTATCATCATGGCATTTTAAATTATGTCATCGGTTCACTATTATATATGGCTTATAAAAGTAGACTGGTTTTCTTAGGAGCTAATAAAAGAGCCAAAAAATGAAACTTGAATGTGAATCTTCTAGGGCTTATAATTAATCAGCTGCTCCATAATTTGATCTTCTCATTGATCAGACCACATTCCAGTCCAAACATAGCCCATGTGGTGGAGAAGCAGGCCAATGACAATTGGTAGAAGTTGTCTATAATGCTGGAACAACCAAGGTTGGTGCCATGTTAACGTATTTGTGACTAAATGCTTTCCATTAGCTTGACCTACTTAAGACAGCCCTTACTGCCAGGAAGGGCATGTTCCATGTACTTTGACTTATGGCAGCAACATTTTCATAGTTTCATGCTAGGAGAGCTTGTTTTTCATTTTAGAAGAAGGTTAACACTATCATTCTGTTCTGTCTCGACTGAAACTTCTAGGGGTAACTGGTAAAGCTTACTGTATTCCTTTCTTTCTTTTACTAGTCATCCACATTGACTATAGCAAATGACCTGGACTAAGAGCTTCTTTTATTTTATTTTTATGGTTATAATATAATTACATCTCTCTCTTCCCTTTCCTCCCTCTAAACCCCCTACATATCTATTCCCACTCCTTAAAATGCATGACCTCTTTTTTCACTAATTGTTTATACATGCATATATTTATTTGCATATACATATATATTCCTAAATATAACCTGTTCAATAGGCCTTTATCTTCTTAAGTTATAAGAATTCTTAATTATTGTTGATAGTCTGTGGCAAATAAATCTTAACTCAACAAACTATTAGTGTTTCTGTTTGGTATATATTATTGACCGAAATGGAAAGGGCTATGGCCTCAAGAAGCTAAAGAATAGTTTTTAAAGCTCTTAAAGAATGCTTTATGTATACACTGTTTTTTAGTATATAAATTATGTTAAAATCCTCCTTCACTGCTTCTTAAAATTTGCTGAATTGTGTGTGTATTTGTCAAGGAGATGTGCTCCTGGAGAGAACAGACAGTTGAGTCTTGATTTTAATTCAGTCAGCCAGTCTGCATATTTTTATTGTTGAGTGGAGGTTATTTGAATTTAAGTTATGCTTAAGCAAGTTAGCTAACTTTTGGAAGTTCTTTTGCTAGCTGGCTGAATTGCCCTTTGTTCTTTCTTTCTACTGTACTGACATTAGTAGGCTTCTGGTTCACTGTGTTGGGCGCAATAAGCTCTTTCTTATCTCTCCTTTACTCATATATTCCTCTCATAACATTTCTTTTCTCTGTTCCCATGATCAAAACTTTCTTTTTTCCTACTTTGTTCCTTTAGTGTCTTACTGACTTTACTCTCCAGGTCCTGAATGATTTCCTTGCTTTATTCATCTGCTTGTTTGAGGTCACTGGTCCTTGTTGTCAATTTTGAGATCTTAAGCTGGCTTTTGATATATTTCAGCATCTTTTAAATCAGCACTAGGTGAGGTGTTCTGGATTTTGCAGGCTCCCTGTTGCCAATAGCACTTTCGATGAGAAGTCTGCCCCTCTTCCCCTGCCGTGTAACCGCATAGCTGGAGTTGTGCTCAGCAAGACTTTCTTCTTGACACTTCTGTTTGCACTTGACAATGTCCTACTTCTGGTCATGCAGCTTTCTGGTGTTCACCCTCTTTCCTCAATTGAATTGGAGGCTTTCTTTCTTGCTCATTCTGTTACCCCAGGTCAGACCAAGGCAGGTTCTAACCTGTCTTCTTACCCAGAAGTTCCCCAGAGCAGTCTATCACAGAACACATATTTTCTTGTGATTTTTCTTCCAATTCCATTTGATTTTTCCATTACTTGCAAGACAGAGCCCAACCATGACTGCATTTAGGAGCTTCTCACTGTGCGGAGGGTGGGGTGTCAGTGAGCAGCCCCTGTTTATTATATGTACCTTATATACATGAAATGGCAGGGTTCTAGATAAAATATCTCCATCCTTCCCGCCGTTCTGCCTTCACTGCTATCCCAGATTGTCATGCCTGCTAGAAAGCCCCTATCATCCTTCATGGCTGCACACCATTAAATTTCAGAGATAGCAAGGAACATTCCACCACAAATGAAATTGTTCTTCCATTCCTTATTCCACATTGTAAAGTAAAATGACTTGTTTCCATTTTATTCTCTAATACCAGCCTGTGAGTCTTTTGAATGCAACAGTACCCAATCCATAAATAAATATACTGCAAATGAAGATTAATATTACGTAGACAATATATCCCAATGATAACTTTGAAATTTGGGATTTTTCATCACAGAACAGTGTCTGGTTACAGGTTGCCCTAAAGCTCTAGTAACACCATATTTTTGCATCTGTATAATGTTTTATTTAAAGTAAGCTCAAACAACTTAGTTTGTACTATTCTCTTTTACTTTCTCTAAATTAACACTGTCAATTTCAAGAGATTTAAATCAAAATTTTAAATATCAAAATAGTCTTGTTTAGCTGTTCATAGGTCTTTTTGAGAATGGTTTTGTTCAATGTCTCTGGTTTTGTTGCTAAAACACTGAGAAGATTCTAGCATGAAGTAACATAGCAGGTACCAAACCTTTTCAGCATTACATACTTGAGGTTCTTTTATAGTTCACCTTATTATAAATGCAAAATCCTGTCCATATAACAGACAAAATTATACAACCATGCACAAACAACTTTAGTATAGGACACAAGGAAAATATTCTGGAAAATTCAATTTTGTTTTGCTCAATTGATTTGCTTTAAATGTTATCAAACACAACCATTGTAGTTTTAATTTCATTTGTATGGAAATGTATCTTGACTTTTTTTCATTTATGTGATTGATCCTTATATTGGCACAATTAGTCTTCTACCTGTACAACTAACAATTGTTCTTTCTCCATACTTGAGTTTTCCTGGATATTTCTGCCTTGTTAGATTTGGTGTTCATTTTCTTCTGGAGAGGATACTCTTTCTGTATAGATATATGTAACAACGTGTGCAGTAGAACTTGAAAATTGCAAAGCACTGTTCAGATGGAATAGTTAACAGTCACAGGCTTTTTTTCATCACTTTATCCTCTGAAAACATTCCTGATTTTCATGATAGGAGTTATTCTACTGGGGATTTGTGAGTTTATAACAGCTGTCATCATTCAGAGTCTTCAGATGGCTTGTGTAATTTTTAGTGTGATCAGTGAAATCTATCTGCCCTGCTGCACAGTAATTTGTAAATTTGGATTGCTATTTTAAAAAGGAAAATAATCTGTCAAGATGAATGAGCTGTGATGTTGTTAATATTTCATATAAGAACCATTAATTTAAAAACTAGTAAACAAGCCATTGATGAATCAAAGAGACAGATTTAAGGCAGATTTTTATCTCTGAAATATTATGTAAGTATTGATAAATATCTAGAAACTACAGGGTTTTTTTTTTACTATGAAAACAACCAGCTTGATCTCACATACTGTTCACACACCCACCGTCAGATTTAGAATGCCTCAAAGCTAGGCAAAGCCATGGCTCAGGATGCGCTACTGGTGTTTGAATTCTTCCAAAAGAAAAGTATTTCTTGAGAAAACGGTCATCTCATTGAATTCACGTCAACAAGATGAGTCTGCAGACTTAGGAAGACAGATCGTGCTCGAGACTCAACCTCAAGGAAGAGCACAGTCTCCCAGAAGCCCTTGAGCCATTCTCATGTGCATAGGCCAGTGCCTTGTCCAGTACACGCTAAACACATCCGGACACACCACTCTCCTGTAGCTTCCTTACAGAGACGCTTCACAAGTTCTACCACGACAATTGCCGCATTGTATTCAGTCTGTTCATTCACAGAGAACAATGACATCCTGATCGTCCCATTGTCTTAGAACATCTCCCTGATGGCTTTAGGGAGCCAGTTGGCTGCTACTGTGTTACAGGTGGGACATTTCATCTTGAAAACACTCAGCCTTCTCTCTCCAGAATAAGGGTGTCTGAGAAAGGTTCCTCCATTGTTATACTTTAAAGGGGTATTGTGAATTCTTGTAACAATGCCGCTAGTATCGTTAGCCTTTATTTCAGGTGGCTGCATCTTTCTGTCTGATGAACAGTTTCCTTGAATAACTACCAACAACAGTCATTCATTTCTTCGCTGGCAGGTACTACAGCGCAACCATCCTGCAGATGTCTGGCGTGGAAGATGACAGACTTGCAATATGGCTGGCTTCAGTGACAGCTTTCACCAACTTCATTTTCACACTAGTGGGAGTCTGGCTCGTTGAGAAAGTGGGTCGCAGGAAGCTTACCTTTGGTAGCTTGGCAGGTACGTGACTGGATGTAGGATCCTGCTTTAAAATACCTTGTAGTAGTGACAGTGACTCTCCCAAGAGATAATAGTGGCTTCTGAGAATGATTTCTAAACCAAACAGTACCAAACTAGAACAATAGACAGAAAACAAATAAATGAAAGGTAAGATCCTTCAACTAGCTCTGGGGTAAGTGGCTGGTGACAAGACTGTGACAAGAAAGAAGTTGTCAACAGTTGGAGAGCTGTTTGGAGACTGAAAACTGAAGAACATAGCCACAGTTTTCTCTGTCCTTCTTTGCAAAGCTTGTTATGTTCTTACTTTGCAACATTGTGTTTTTTATTTGGGAATAGTACAGAAGCAATTACTTAGAATCTTTCTTCACAAAGCAAGGAAAGACTTTGTGAAACAGGCCTAAATCCCAGGATTAAAATCTGATTGGTCAAGTGTGTTTTAAATGATAGCAAAATAAGGAAGAACAAAAATGTCTTTTGTGTTCAAAGTTGGCCGTTTCACTGGATGCTTCTCTGTTGCAGGTCAGAATAGCACCCACCTTTAACATTGTCTTTACATGGTTACCTCAGGTATTTTTTTTCAAATGCACAAACACAGTTCTACTCATCAGTTGACTGCATCCCATAACAACTTTATATCTAGAGTAAAATACATGGTTTACACTCAAACATGGAAGATTTTAGTGCAGCATTAATTTAATTCTGTTTTAAGTAAAACTACAACTAAAACAAAATTTCATCTCACAAAGCTGCTTTGGCACTTAACCAGTTTTTGGTGAGAAAATACATTATGATTTCCAACTCAATTCAGCCCTCCTCCATCACTCCCTCCCTCCTTCCCTCCCTCCTTCCTTCTTCCTTCCTCACTCCCTCCCTCCTTCCTTCTTCCTTCCTTGAGTGAGATGGACACGCCCACTCCTGTTCTTACCTTGGCAATGGATGCCCAGTGCCTGGGGACAGGAATTTAAGCCTTAGAGTGGCAGCAAATGTGAGAGGTTGACCAGGGTTTAGGATGATACTAGGAAAGCCCCCCGGTAAGTGAAGCCAGTGTGTGAGAGACAGAAGGTTTTAATTCGAGCATGTATAACCCTGTTGAAGTGAGAAGAGGTGTTTAGCCTCGAGAAAAGATGGAAGAAATAGATAACCGGTATGTAAGTCTTTTCCCTGTTGTTTGAACTCTTGTTTTTCAACCCAGTCTACCAATTGTATAGTAGCTCATGTTTTTATACATTGCATAGCATTAAAAATCTTTAAAATAAATAGTAGCATTTAAAATTTTTTAAAGTTTCTCTTGTGTTTTCACTAAGACCAAATTAAAGAAGACTAAATTAGCATGGGAAAGGTCATGAACTCTGCCCGTAATGAAAGTTGGGCAACAGCCGAGCTCACATCAATCTAGTTGCTGCCATCTCACTCTCCTGACACAGGGTCTCCCAAGGCTCTTCTGTTACTTAACCCTTTCATGTTAAGTTTAATTGAATTCTAAATTACTTGCGTATTATTTCAGTGAACTGTTTCATGCCATACATTCCCCCTAAGCTCCATACTATAAAAATACTGCCTCATGTCCCAGTCAGTTGTTCAGCTAACACAATCTTTTCCTTCCTGTTGCTGCTTTTATGTGTTCTCACAATTCTGTGCTGGAACAGAAATGAAAAGCCTAATGTATGTGCATATGTATGTGTGTATGTACGTGTGTACTGCACATGCATGCACACACATTCAGATGTGACCAGGGCCTTGTGCTGGGCAGGTGCTGAGTAGCAAGCCCTGCACATGGTTTTTTGAGAAGGGTCTTCTGGAATAGTTTATTTTAGTTTATAGTTCCAAAGGTGGAGATCAGAGTGGTGAGGGAGGCATGGCGTCAGGCTGCTAGGATGGGAAGAGGCTCATTTTCATTGCCTTTTTTTTTTTTTTTGAGATTTATCAGCAATCTTACAATCTTAATCTTTTTGTTTTGGCCACTTATTGTTTCAGTCTTAGAAAATCATTACCAATTTGTTTTGACTAGCAACTGGATTTGCTTTGAGTTTCACTTTGAGTCTCAAGGGGTGTGTGCTACAGAGTTCTTCTGACCATTAGTATGCATAGCAAAGCATTTGTTATTCTGGGGAAGATAAATCAAGGAGCTTCATTCAGAGCTATGGTGTCAGCCCAAGTCTGTGTTGCAATAATGCTGTCAATGCTTTCCAGTAAAAAGCTTTTTTTTTTTGTAGGCACCATGGTAGCACTTATTATTCTTGCCTTGGGATTTCTGATCTCAGCCCACGTTTCCCCACGGATCACTTTCAGACCAGTGGCTCCTTCCGGTCAAAATGCCAGCTGCATAGGACACAGGTGAGATTTTATTATGTTCCCTCTTCATAATCCAGTTATGGTAATCTTTTCTTTTTGCTTTTAACATTTCTCAGACTTAGATGAATAGGAGATTCCTGAGTTTGCAGGCTTGTGTCTGAAGGGCTTGTGACAGGAAGGGAGGTCAGGAACCATCGGTGTGAAAACCATAATCTTCAAAGACAATGTGAAAAACTGAAGAAAAATGAGGTGCTTGACACAATTGTGGTGCTGAGTGGACTGAAGAATTCACAGATGAAATAATGACAGAATGTTTGGACAGCTTCGAGAATTCAGACCTTTCCTAAGAAATGTCTCCCTCAAAAACTTGCCATTTGGTTAGTTGTAGTGTAGCCTTAATGTACTCATGCCAACATCGAAAGAGCTTTAGATACAGCTATACCCTAAGACACACAGTTATAGAGTTTCAAAGCACCCACAAGCTATGGTTTTATCTCATTCATTTGTGATGGACTTGAAAATATCTATGGTAGAATATCTGTGGAGTGCAGACCCATTGGGGTTACAGAAAAAGATGAGTTAAGATGTAGAAAATACTTAACACAGTGCTTGCACGTAATAAGTTCTCTGTAAGTGTTACACCTTCTGCTCTAATTAATAAAATGGGTAACAGAAGGGAAGACTGAAATGGTGGATCTCAGAGAAGACTAGTTTTGGGGTGGCATGTGTGAACTGAGCCCTGTAAAGGGGAGTGGAGGAAACCCATCACCCATCAGCAGTAACAGCAGGCAGGAAAACCATGCAAGTAGGCAGACACTGAGCAAGAAGAGAACACTAACCACGGGCCAGGGCAGGTGCAGCACACTAAGATGAGGCTGTGAAAAGGTCAGATCCTCCAAAATCATCAGAGCTTTGTGTTCTTCGGCCTGACAGCATGAACATGCATGCATGGAGAGTTTTTAATCAAGGAGTGACTTGCCCAGAATTTCCATTCTACACCATCTCTCTGGCTGTGTACACCAATGTCATGAATTCGAAGGCCAACTGTTACACAGATGTCTGAATGAAATGATAGTTGCCTGGACTATGCTGGTAATGTTGGTGACTTTAAAAATGAGATTTACTCTCAACATATTGAAGAGAAAAAAATCAATAAGAATTAAAAATAAGTTGCTCATTAACCAGAAGCTGAAAGAGAAAGGCGTCTTCAGAGGATTTGAAGTATCTGAGGATCCAGGTAGAAGGTACAGTGTACCTGAAATGAGGTGGCTGAATGAGGCAAGATGATAGGTTGCCATGGGAATATTGAACTCTAGGGGAATGCTGCTGTGTGCTAGAAGAGGGTTTTGGTGTAGAGCATATCAATGATGTGTAATCATCAAAGGTATGAATGTAGTGGCACCTGGTTCACAGCTAAGAACCTTACCTTGACTCCATTTGTGATCTCACCATAGATCACTCATCAAACGTCCAGTACTTTTCCCATCCTTTGTGTGCTGTTCCCAGCACTGAGTCACAGATACTCACGGTGGACAAGGAATTTAATGTAGCCTAGTATAGACCTCTCTTCATTTAAGAAAGCAGAGGTCTACATACATCATATCTCTTCCCAGAGCACCCTGGATGACTGCTTATTCTCTACGCTTCTCCTGTAGAGTTCCCATGTGAGGTCCTTTGATAGAACAACACTACTTGCAGACATTGCTTTTTCTAGCACCTTCAGACTCAGTCTTCTCACCTTAGACCCAGAAGGCAGTTTGTTAGTGAAGATGACCTAGAGGGTTGGGTAATTTTGCTAAACTGATTACAGCTGGCACATCACCTCTTCGGTATATTCCTTAGTACACTTGATGCCCTATGTCAGGCAAAAGCCACCAGAGGAGTGGACCTCCAACTCACTGTACTTCTCTCTTTACTGTCTCTCAGTTGGAACTCTTGTCTAGAGTCATCATGGAGGTATTCAAAGTCACAGGAAAGAGAGGCCAAGTATGCAAACACTCCCTTTCTTTCACCCCTCATCCCTTTTCCATCACCATCAAGCAGTTCCTTCTGTACAGTGATTTCACTGTTTTCTTCAGTAAATGAAGTTCTCAAACATCTAAACTAAGCAATTGTGATTTTGTCTGTTCACTCTCTACCCTGTGACCATGATACTAGAAGTTTTGGGAAGCAGTGTGCCCTTCATTATCTATTCCCCTCAAAGTTCACTCCAAAAGATATATACTTACCACACTCTTTTCTTCTTCTTTCCAGCCATGTATGATCATCTTATACCATTGACATAACATTATGATACTTTCAGATTCAATCATATTTTTATACAACACTAAAATGTGCAAAAATCCTATCTGTTACTGTTCCTCATTTTAGCACCATGGTAACAATGTGTTCATCATTTCTGGTCATACTTAGCAACTGGCAGTGTATTAATGACTAAACAGAGTTGAATTCTCTACTCATGTCTACTATAGACTTTCCTATTGATTTCCTCTCAAATAAAACTGGTTTCATTTTTAACCTTGTTAGTAGGAGACAATATGCCTTGAGGGTAGTGATCGTAAAACTGCAGTAGAATGTTTATATGTTGGCTAATATCCACCAGCCCATTTGAAATAAAATAAGCACAAATGGTAGTTGAAAAAGAAAATGAGAGTTGAAACAGAAGCCTAGATAACTTTATCCTGTAACCTTATATTGAAATAATTACATGTATATTTTCTATTGTTACCTATACACCTATTGCTGAATTTGGCACATGAAGAAGACAATTTTGCTGATGGTGCAAGGATCCTTTTCTTTTGTGCAGTGTGTGTGTATGTGTGTGTGTGTGTCTGTGTCTGTGTGTGATGCATGTGCATGAGTACCAAGTGATATGTACCACAACTCATGTCTAGAGATTATTACAGGATATTTTTTAGGAGTTGGTTCTGTTTATTCTACAGGTTCCAGGAATCCAATGCATAGCAAGTGTTTACCTACAAAGCCATATTTCTGGCCTGATAGAAAGATTGCTATCTGCCTGCATAGGTGCTTCTTAGAATAAGTTGAATTCTGTATGTGGAAAATCATCCTTTTGAGTTCTCCATGACTTTTTTTGATGACTTGAAGATTGTTAAAAAAAAACTTGCATAGCTGCCATAGTATCAAGAGTCTGAACTCAGACTTTATTTGTTTTCTATACTCAAAAAGTACTTTTTAGAGCCAGGCAAGGTGATGTGGACCTATAATCTGTACTTGGGAGGTGAAAGCGGGAGGATCAGGAGTTCCTTGCTAGTCTTAGCTATGTAATGCTTTCTCATTAAAAAATGCTTCTTGGGAATATAAAAGGGAGGAATCTGAGAATAAGTGTGCAAATAGTAAGGACAGTCTATTCCAAGAAGAAGCATCTTTAATGTCTTCTATACAGGTCATGAAGAGGAGTGTGAAGGATGGTCATGGTCGCATCCCAGCACTCAAGAAGCAGAGGCAGGCAGATATATGAGAATATGATGCCAGTCTCTCCTATATAGTGAATTTCAGGCCACTGGAGACTACATAGTGAGACCCTGTCTCAAGAAAAAAAGAAAATATCAATTCTTTAAGGAATCTTGTCTTGGTGAATAAGTGGGAAAAATGCCACATAAATGGGGTGTATGGGAGTTGATACAAATATGCTTAGCCTTCTTAAGTCATAAGAATCCCTGGAATATAAGAGAACTTCAAGGGCAATTTTTTAAAATATCACTATGGCTGCAGAGTGGAGTTAATTATAAAAGAACAAAGGGATGAAGGGACATAGGTAACCTAGGCAACAAGAAATGTAATCTTGGTGACTGTGAAGACAGACTTGAGAGGCATCATGACAGGTAATGACAGGCCTGAGTGGTAAGTTGGATGACAAGAGAAAGAACTTTCCCAAATGACTGTTGGGGTTAGCATATGGCATCTGCAGTCTCACTGTAGACTGATGCAGTCCTTTCCTTCGCTGTTGCTATTCTAAACATCATAACCAAAAGTAGTTTGAGGAAGAAAGGGTTTGTTTAGTTTATACTTTCACATCACAGTCCACCATTGAGGGAAATCAGTTCAGGAACTTGGACAGGAACCTAGAGGCAGGAACTGAAGAGGAGAGCATGGTTGAACACTACATAACTGGTATGCTACTCAAATTACTCGGTCTGATTTTTTATACATATTACTCAGGACCACCAGCCCAGGGTTGCCATTGTACACAGTAACCTACACCCTCTCATATCAATCATTAGTCAGGAAAATGCCCCCACAGACTTGTCTACAGTCCAATCTAATAGAGACATTTTCTCAATTAAGATTCCCTCATACCCAATGATGGCAGCTTGTGCCATGTTAACAAGAAAACTGACCAGAACATCCACTTCTTAGGGAAATTTTTAGTGACAGGAGCCCCATTCTCCAGTATAAATAGCTCACAATAGCAGTCTAGTACTTAACATTTCTGATACTCACATTCCTACTCAAAATATTATATATTCCTTTTGAACTCAAAATATATATGTAAAAACTTGTCAGAACTTATCCAGCCAGGTCCAAAGTAGAACAAGAAGGTAAAAAGAAAAGAAAAAATTATGTATCTCAGATAACCCAGATATCTTTATGACTGTTCTGTTGATGTGAGGAGACACCATTATCAAGGCAACCCACAGAAGAAAACATTTAACTGGGGGCTTGCTTACAGTTTGGGAGAGCGAGTCTGTGATCATCATGGTGGGAGGCAGACAGGCATGGTGCTGGAGTAGTAGCTGACAGTGTTACCTGATCCATGACAGCAGGCTGAGAGAGCAGTGCTGAGACTGGGGTGGGCTCGGTAACACTTAGATTTTTGTTCTAGAATCCTGGTCACTTCATGGAACCAATAAAGCTAAGAGTTCTATTCACAAATAATGCCCCATTCTGTTAGATGTGAACAAGGGATGTAAACTATGTAGTTCTGTCTGTGACAGGTCAACACAACTCTGTAGGAAATATTACTAAATAATAAATGATACTAACTAAAAGCCCTGACAACACTCTGTTTTATAAGTTTAAGCAAAATGAAAATTGCCTTCCTAGAAGTCATGTGGGCTGAATAATGAAACCAGCTATATATCAACAGCCAGATGCCTGGCTGGTAAGTTGAAGTATTTTTCTTCATACCCCAGTAGACTTTCTAGGCCCTCTCCTGTACTTTAATCTGTCTGACATGTGGGAAAGGGAGTACTGCTTTAGTACAAACCTTTGCTTTTTTTAAAACAATTTTCACAACCCACTTAAGAAGACTCTCCTGTGAAAGTAACTTTGACCACAATGGTTTAGGCAGGTTTGATGTTTGAATAGGTGGATTTGATAGGAAGAGGTAAATGTTAGTGACTAAAGGATAAATATATATATACATGTATATATATAATTCTATAAATCAGAAGATTAATGAAATGTAGCATATTCTATGTACACTTAGGGTTAGTTCTTATTTTTTGACTTAAAAATTTTTGAGAATTACAGTAGGACATGGGTACTATAGAGCAAAACCTTACCTTTAATGAAACAAAAAAATGCAAAAAAAAGAAACAAAACAAAAAAACAGCAAATTCTGATAGGGAGTCACAGTGTGGCCTGGCTAGTCCCTGCTCCCTGAGGCCATCACAGCTGACTACACATGAGACATCACCGTTGCTCACCTCTTCACAGAGTAGTATTTTCAAATGCATAAAATAAATTTACAGGATCACAAAGGAAATCAGTTTATTAAAACCTGTGGCCAAGCATATGTGCCACAATGTGAGGGATCAAACTTGCCTCATATGTCCAAGGCAAGTTCTCTGCCACGGAGCTATATCACCAACTCCGCCCCCTTTTGTCCTTCCTTCCTAATTTTATTTCAAGGTAAATTCTTGCTAAAATGTCTAGCTTGACCTCAAACTATCAAGTCCTCTTACCTAAGTCTCTGGATTATTGGTCTGCACAACTATAGCCAGGTTAAAATCCTTCATAAATAAACTTGCCATATAATGACACTCATACCTCATTATTAAATATGAAAAGTCAGAGGTAGCTGCCAATCCAGCATGATAGTTCGGACATCTTAGTGAGCGTCAATGGTATTTGTAGATTTCTCTATTTCCTGTAATGGGACATGATGATACTAGATTGCTGTTGCTGACGATAGTTTATTGCCTACATAATTCCTTCACAATGGAAGGAGATGCTTAATTTTAATAAAAGGTTAATAAAATACAGATTTTTTTCCATCAACTTTGTGGGTCCCATGTGAACGATATAGCTCACAAGAGTGAGTTCGATCTAATTCTTCCAAGGTAGGTAACATTTTCTCAGTCTGACACAGCAGAGAAGGCCCAAGAGTATGAGGGCAGTCTGGGCAAAGGCAGGGGATCCATTCTCTTCAGGAAATTAGACTAAATTAGACTTTGATGTTGCTAAGGAACAAGGTGCCGGTCTGCAGGCGAGGCCGAAGGAAATGAAGGCGTCGGGTACCTAGTCAGGGCTTGGGTGGGAAAGGAAGGCAATGAGCAGCATCAGCCGGAATTAGCATTATCACCTTGGAGCTTTGCAGAGGACTTTGTGCTTGATGTTCTGGTGTAAGTGGGAGGAGTCCCACAGCCCCAAAGAGACAAAACAAACCTGGAGTTTATTTATGTTGGTGATATGAAGACAGGGTATCTTTGGAGATGTTCAGAGTATGCTTAAAAGTTAAGTGCAGATATTTAGGGATAGAGATTTGGCTAATTCCAAGATGGTTGCATGTCCTGGTGACTGATGTAGGAAGATAGATGGATCAAATGTCTAAGCATGCTTTGATTTTCAAATATTATTAGTTTTTGTGAATTAAGTCCTTCACATTTGCAGGAATCATTCCAACTTCAATGTGGATATTTTTGTCAAATTACTCTCACACTTTCTTAGGAGGAAAATACTTTATTATTTAACTGTATTGGGAGGGATACAGAGGCTGGGGAGAGAATGTCTGTTACTCACTGAGGTGGTGTAGTTCCTTTGCTCTGCCTACTGCCCTCCTTTAGTGAAACTAATGGCCTTTCTTTGAGGACTGTACAGTGGGGCTTCCATCAGCCACCCACAGAGAAACAGACAGAGCACCAGCCTATAAAGCTGCCTACAAACACTCACACTGTGTCAAGACTCCCCCTTGAAAATGGAGTACCAAATGATGAAGCTCATTAAACTAGTGACACCCTGATTATCCTGCTACAGAGTGTGCCACTTAATTGAATCCATCTTGAAACTCATTCAGGACATTCAGTAGAGTTCATTTTGTAACAGAAATGAGGTTCTGGGCTCATGCATAGATTAATAAACAGATGAAGTCACTTCCAACACTCCTGTCTTAGCAATGTTGAATTTAAAAAATAAATAAATAAGAGAAGCAGCAATAAAAATAAATTGATACCTTAGAGCTTTGTCAGAATCTGAAACAGCTGTCTTTATTTTTGCCATGTTTTTGGTGTTTTTTGAGATAGGGCTTTTTTTCTGTGTAGCCCGGCTGTACTGGAACTTGCTCTATAGACCAGGCTGTCCTCAAACTCACTAAGATACACTAGCCTCTGCCCTTACGGTCACCTGTACTTGGATTGAAGGCATACACCATCACTGCCTGGCTATCTTTTTACAAAATTTGTGTGTATGAAAATGGAAATGAAGTGAATGTGAACTCTTAGTTTCTGGGATGCAGAGGCGAAGTTTGTAGTGAATCCAGCCTGGGATAGATTGGGGTAACAGGAGTGCTAGAACAGGGGTGGCTTAACTGCCATTTGCTCCGCAAGGAAGTCATGGAGAAACCGTTTACTCACAAGTCACAGGCACTGAGCAGAGGTGGGTACCACCAGCAGTACCTAAGCAGCAGATTCCCAAAGCCAGGATCAGGCACCATCACCGAACTTACACTGCACATAGTTAATAACGGTGTCTGGGCGCAGAGGCTCTTCTGCTCTGCAGTGATGCATAGATAGATCCTTGGCCAGCTTTGCCACAATAGTGGAACTAGAGAACATCTTTCTATAGGACATTGATAATTGGTTCTGCTTTAAACAAGAAAGACAAGTTAGTCATCCCAACAGGGCTTGACATCCTTTTGTAGTTTAGCTCACTTTGTAGTCATTACAGTATCTCCCCCCCCAAAAAAAATTACAGGTGACAAATGTATCCCCACAATATTTTGCCTCCAGCTTTGTAAGAACCATGATGTCTTCATTTGCTGCTTCTTTGGCTTTTACAACCAGCTGAGCAGCTGTCTCACTCTGCTGTCAAAAGGGAGATAAGAAAAAAAAAGCCAATTGGTTCATGTGTGTGTTCAGAAACTTCTAGGCCCCACCCACCAAGGCAGATTCTCGTATTTGCCCCTTTTTGTCAAGAAATCTGACCAAGCCCCAAAGAGGTTCGGTGAGTTTAGAAGGCCTCAGGCCTGAGCCTGCACAGAACTAAGTTTTAAGTGACTAGGGTATACCTATCTCTGCCCAGAATCTGATCCTATCAATCATGTGTCTGCTGCCAGGAGAGGGGTCAGACTGTCTTCAATAGTCAGACATTACAAAGCCTGTTCGAGTATATTGTCACTTATCCAGTGAACCTGAGATTGTCTTTCTGAAATACATTTTGAGAAGTTGTATTCCATTTAGAGATTGAGTTTGGTTTTGTGAATTGTGTTGGTTTTCATTGGTTTTTCCTACCAGATTAATGAACATTATATCCTATTTAGTAGGAGAGAATGAATGAGATTAATGTGATGAGACAGTGGCCCCTTTTGGTGATATCAAATTTGAGGGAACCAGCATGCTTGTTAAATGCCCCATCTACTGGAATTGGGGAGACTTGGCAGGACCCACTCTTTCATAGTCAGTATGTCAGAGACTTGGTTAAGGAGTCTCTCCATCAGGCAGGCTCTTTCTGTTCCTTGGTATATGATACTGACACTAACCATGTACAGGTGTTACACCAGCTGTGACAAAATCAAGACATGTGATTATAATCACTCATCATCAGTTGTATCTTTAAAATCAATTTGCATATTAAACCCATATCAAAACTGCATAGTTTTCAAAAGATTTTGAAATTAGAAATGGGCAAAAATGATTTTCAACATTTGTAAAATTAGTTAGCATCAGTTATGATTGGGAACCTCCCAGGCCCCACAGGAAATATCACTAGCATTGTGCTAGGCACTCTACCAAGAGCTCCTGTGGTAAGTAGGTTATAATACTCATCAATATAGTGGGGAAATGATTCGTTTATGTTTTATGTATAAGCAGAGAAGTACTATCTTTTATAAAACTGATATTCTGAATTGCTTCAGAACTTGTTTGTAACTAAGTCATAGTTTCCTCAATTTGGAGAAGGAAAAGATAATCTTGTGTGTACATAGCATACATGAGTGCCTATGCTGTTGCTGATGGGCAATGGGCACTGAAACCTTTCGTCCATGAACAAAATATTCAATAGTGATAATTCAAGCACTGGATGAGGACAGAAAACGGTATTGAAAGATCCATTCTGGGACCAGGCCCAGCTCAAGGATAATGTTTCCACTGACAATATTAGCTGCTATTATGGAGACTTTGGCCATTTAATTTTTAATGATTTTTGTTTTGTTTTTGCATTTTGCTAAATGTATCTGTTGTGCAGAGGGGGAGGGGTGCACTTGTGCTTTGTCCTGGCCTCCTTTGTAAAGTTTCCAGACGTGGCCTGAGATGCATCACTGTCATCAAGCTGTCAGCGTGTGCTGAAGCTGCACACGCGCACTCAGAGAGACTGCCACACTGGTTGACACCCAGGCTCAGTGAATACCTAATGAGCAAGAAGCGATCCCCCTCAGCT